ACCATCCAACCAATTCCTCATCCATTGAAGTGATTAAAAAAAAAAAGCTTTTGAAATAGACCTTCTGAAATGGCTCTTCAGTTGCTGGTGGGATGCTTGTTACTACTGGTGGAGTGTGGTGCTTTCGAGCAGTTGTTCATCTTCACTCTGGTTGTTTCACCTAGACTACTGTTACTGACTTTAAAGAATGGGACTGTTAGCTTGGAAACAGGAGATAGCAATCTCTGAATCATTAGGATTTGTAAATATTCGACGAAGTCATGAGTATGTCTGTCTCAAATATTTCTATTTTTCTGGCCCATCCTTTTCCTCTTTTTCTTAACTTGGGTGGATGCAGAAGCAGAGCCAGGACTGTATGTTCAAACTCCGGTCATCTGTTTCCCTTTTTGTAGACTTGTCTTCATTATAACACTTTGAATGCAATATCCATATCTGCAGCTATGAGAGTGGTGTTGCCTTACTTTAATGTATTTATGTAAGTTTCTTGCTGTCTTTCATGTCCATGGAAGATGTTTAGCCTTTATAAACTTATGAAACTTACGGAAATAGGCTTTTAAGTGCACAGTTAGCCATCAGTGTTAGTTGTGTTCCCTTTGCTTTGCTTACGTATGTCTACCCGCATACACATACATGCATGCATTTTTTTAGTCAGGTTGTTAAGTGTCCGTATCCATATTGCTTTATTTAGCTTGCTTCTACACTGACCTAGCTAGCTTTGTTTAGTATAGTCTATCAGCAACTTAGTTGCTGTCCTGGGAACATCAGGCCTATCTGTACCAGGATGACTCCTGCGATCTGTTTGTTTTCATGCTGCTTGATTTCTGATATTTCAACTCTTTTCCTCTGCCTTTTCAGTTTACATTTTCCATTGGAAAAATAATCAGAGCTTAGTTTCATATGGTGTCAAACTCACAAATCAATCCTCACCACATATTTCAAGAATCTGCTGGAAGAGCTTTACCTACATGCTTAAAGTGTCGATATAGCAAGATAAAAGTAAGTTCCAGAGCTAGTCCAGTAGTACTTGAATATATCTGAGGTATGGGCTGTATTTGTCCCCTCATTCCTGAATTGGGGGAAATTTCATTGCAAACGTATGTTGTAGGTCCTGTTCTCTTCCATGATTCTTTGCCTCAAGGAGTTTAGATAGACTTTCTTTCATCTTTTCAAAAAACTCCATAGTTGTGTGGTTTCTCCATTATAGTCTCTGTGCTTCATTGTTTGCAGTGCAGCATATTTCCTTGTGTTACCTCCTCTCTCAATGACCAGCATTCTGTGATGTATAGCACATTTGGATATTGAACACTTGCAAAGTCTTTTCAGTCCTAGACGATGTGTAGTAATTCCTAGTTTATGGAATAAGGCTTGTCCTGTCATTCCTCTACAGGATAGGTCTCAAATGTTGTGGCCCTCTGTCCCCTTATTTCCAAGAATAGATTTCTATTTCTGCTTCCCATATATCAACAAAGCAGCTGAAGAGAAGAGCAGATAAGAGGGATGGAGATGGAGGGGAAGGATGGGGTGAGGAACACAAAGGTGTCTCATGTTCATGCAGAATGGAGCTGGAGTAAGGCTATGGTATCAACAACACTTAGACTTGAGAAGGACAAAGTGAACTCTGCTCGGTCAGTTTTTTATTTCCCAGAAGACAGACTTTTAGGAATTGCATCTTTAGGATCTTTGTTTCCCGCCTCAATCCGGGCTAGCTGAGGCTTTTCCTTACATAGGTAAAGTCTAGCATTAGAAAAACCTGATGCCAGGAAGCTGGAATAGCGAATGAGCTTTCTTCATGTGACTGATACAGATTACAGCTTGACTGAAATCCATCTCACCCATTGTTGATGATTTCCTCTTAAGGATAAGCTTTTATACCATCTCCCTGTCACTTATATAGCAAAGTCCACCTAAATAACTGGGTATCCATTGCTTAGTCTGGATGGTCAAGCCTGGAACTACTATATTTGCGTCAGTGCAGTATTGCCGTTGGGCAGATGGCAGTGCAAAGGTGGTGTGAATAGTGAAGCCATCTTGGGATATGGACGCAACTTTTCAGAAAGGATTACTCTAAAGCACGTATGAGGAGATTGCAGAGAGACCGGTAAACTCATTTTTTGCAAGCTAGCTTTTACTTCATATTAAGCAACCAGACTTGTTCTTATACTTCAAAAATCTGTGTTGCTTGCTTGCTTTCTTGGCTGGCTGAACCTAGGCAGATAATTTCTCAACTTCCAGAAGTTGCTAATAGATTTCCTGTTGATTACGAAGTTTACTGTCATCTCTACCACAAGAGGCTTGATGGGCTGATACCTCCATCATGTGGGGAAAATGCAAACTGCATCATCTTTACACTCAATTTAGAGACTTTAGATTATATCATGTACAACTCAAACACTATATATAAAATACTGTCAGTTATACGTTGTGAAAACGTGATTGTTCTTCAAATTTCATACAAAAAAAGGAAATTAAATTCCAAAGGCAATATTAGAAAGTTATTGTATGTAAACTAACACATGAAGCTGTCTTTTAAAACTTCATCTATGATCAACAGATCTGGAGCTTTCTGAAATTTTTGGGCAGCTTATTCAAAATTTGTTTATAAGGATTTATTTTATACTTCAGTATTGAGATTTATTATGATAATTCTTAAACTGCCTAGATCTTTTGATAGTTTCTTGTGGTTTTCTGTTTTTTCTTTCTGCAAGTTTGTGAGGGAATTAAATCACTTCCCAGGTCTCAAACTGAGAGGGCAATCCCTTTTCATTTGAGTTCTGTACGGTTTGGAAATACATGCTTTGTTTTAAACATATCTGTTGCTTACTTGAGTTTGAATTTTAAGCAGTAAATTTTGAACAGCACCTTGAGCTCTGCTGGGACATTGTCAGTAGAACTTGGGTATAATTTTTTTGTGTGTGATTGTCTTTTGTGGTAGCAAGGGAGGTGAGAAGAAGGAAATAATTTTCTTCAACGTGTTTTCTAAAGTAGTTAAGCGTATTACTGTGACTCCTTTTTTTTTTTTCCTACTCTCTTTGATCAGTGAAGTCCTTTATATATTAATATAGCTTGATTAGACGTTAGTGGATAATAACTGTTGGAATAAACTTGGGGCTTTCGTTTTCAGCCATACACCATTACTGCTGTACTTTTTTTCCTGAATGTTACTGAATCTGGAGGGAGAGTGAGCTTCAGGCAGCGAAGCTGATACTTGGGTGCAGTAAAGTTGATACTCCCTGGAATCATTAAGCTTAGTTTGCTGACACAGTACATTTCCACACAGCTGTGCATTTATGCATTTGTAGCTCTTATGGCCCTGGGACGTATTGGATCTCTTGTACATGTGCGATACAATGGACGTACGCGCACAGTAAGTCTGCTGGCAGGGAAGGGGGCTTTCCTTCATCTGCATCAAAGGCTGGCTGTGTGGCAGGGAGGTGTAGGGTGGCACAGCCCATTGATGTCGCTTGCTACGAGATCTGTGGTGTGAACAACAGTACGGCTAAGAACTGCTTTTGCAAAATGAAAATTTATTCTTGAGTTTTTAAGATGTAACAGTGGAAGAAATGTTATAGTGCTAAAATAGTAAAGCCAGATAGAAGTAATAGAGAAGACAGCTGCTGTAAGATGTGATCTTTTTTGGTTTAATCTCCTTAGGTATGAGTTCTAGTGAGGGTATATTTTGATTTCTGAGTGCTATTCTCAATGTAAGGTTTTAGTTTATAGAGTACTTCCTACTGATATGTTAAAGATTTATTTTTTAAAAAATTTTCCAATACCTGCTTATAAGCTGATAATTTGAAGTATATTTGTGAATCTGTACACTTTTGACTCTCGTTTTTATTTGGATTTCATAACTAGTTGCATTTGATGTCTTAAGTTATAATGACAAGACTAATAAATTTGGCTTTTTTTGGGTACAGCTGCCTCTGGTGAGAGCGATTCCTTGCTTTCTATGGAATGCACATATGTAGTCTCTGACCACCCAAATGAAGATCCCAGACTTCTTTTCTGCCTTCCAAACTGTGATCTCCTGTCCTTACCTTTTTTTTAAATTTTTCCTCTGCTGCAACGTGTCACTTGTACTCTGTTCTACTGCCAAAACAAAATAGACACTTGGGTTTTTCACTTTGTCACAGGTGTGGTTGTCATTGCTGTTCCAGTGTCCTGGAGCAGAAGATACAGCTTCCACTTTGCTAATGTGGGAGATAGTGACATAGCTCTGAACCTAAGTGTGCTTTCGTTAAAAGTCCTTTTGAAAATGAATTGTATATACCATGAGTACTGTGCATGTTACAGTTCTGATAATTCAGTTTTGCTGTTAATCAGATATCTCAGGTCTACCACTTGTGCTCCTTTACAGTCATCACTGAACTTTGAGAAACATTCTGAAAATTTTGCGTGGACAGAGAACCGTTATGAAGCAAATCGCAGAAGACACAACTCTTCAGATGGGCTTGATCCTAACATTGGACGTCCTATTGGAGGTATTTAGCTTTTATGGAACATTTTGAATATGTATATGTCATTGCCTTGTAGCACTCTAGCTAGAAAAAAAGTCTGATAATGATAGCTCTTCTATGCTAAATTCTTACTCTCTAGTAAAATGGCGGTAATGGAAAGACAGATCCACTGGGATAGGATGTGAGGGCTAAGGGTTGGTTAAAGTAGTGTGATTCCAGGTGGTTTTCTCTCTTAAGAAGAATAGGAGTGTCAAGTTAACATTCTAGCCAACAACATGTACATGAGCAGCCAGAGAAGGAGGTTGACTTGTCTTAGTGTTGGACTACTAGCCTCTTCTCTGGCAGTGTTCTATAAGATTCTTCCCTGCTGCTTACGTGAAAACTTAAGTTTACTATGCCATCATATCCCAGAGGATAGAGCTGCTGACTTAACTTCTCTGTCAATTTTGCAGAAGTAGAATATTCCTTTAAAACTGTTTGTAATTACATTTCTTTAAAATTTGAAAATCTAAGGGCATTTTGGGAGAAAAGAGAAGAGTGGTTGGCGTTCACAAGGCAGAAATGGTACAGAAAATATAAACCATCGTGGGGGATACCATGGTGGAGGTTCCCGCGCTCGTACCAGCACCTTCCACTGTGGAAAAGGCCAGGGACTGCATGAAAACAGTGTACCTGACAATGAAACTGGGAAAAAGGAAGACAAAGAAGTACCCAAACAGTTTGAGGCTGAGGATTTTGTAAGTTAATTGTAATTACAATAAACAAGGTTTCATTGTTTCTGCAAGTGCCATTTTTTCTGTTACATGCTACTTCATGAGATTTCACCAGTTTCAGATCATCATATAAGGGATGACCTTTCCCGTAGGTGAGAGGGTGTTAAGTCATTTGTCCACAAACTTGTTTCTCCTGTTGTATCCATTTTTCATCATTGTATGTTTATTATTCTCACTTAAGTGTTTAAGTGAAACTATAGTTGGGTTCCAGTTTACTGTGGTATGTGTATGTGTTAAATTCTACACAGTTACCTTTCTGGAAATCTGAAGTACTAACAAAGTGGTATTTCTGCCAATGGCCCTTTGAGATCCCCTGCTTCAACGTAGAATTGTAGGATGTAAGAGGAAGGGTGAGCTTCCTCTTTGAAGAGCCATACATTGCTGTTTTTTGCTTTCTCTGGACAGTTCTTGTAATGGTATTGACTGATGCCTGAGATGTTTTGTTGAAGAAGAGAAACAATAGAGCATTGACCTGTTTGAGTTGCAGGGGAAAGTGTCTAGTCTATCTCCGTTTAAAAACCTTTGACAGAAGAGATCATACTGCTGATATAATTGTGATTCGTTATTTCATTGATGCCAGAATTCAATACTTACTTTTTTAATCATGAGTAAACTTTCTTTCAGCCATCTTTGAACCCTGAATATGAGAGGGAGCCAAACCAGAATAAGTCTTTAGCTGCAGGTGTGTGGGGTGAGTACTTTTTATGTTTTTAAATGTAAAAATGTAGCAGATATCTCAAGTTATTTTATTTGAAACAGAATTTTTTTTTAGAATTATAAAAGTGTACCTTTAAATTATAGAGGTATAGATTGAAATTGAGGAAATTTCAGTATTGTCACAATGCAAGTATCTTTTTGTTAGTGAGGAAACACTTCTATTTGAAAGTCAGTCTGTTGGTCTGTAGATGCAACCACAACTAGGATTCTTTCCGAGAACAAGTATACATCTTTTTTGTAAAGATGTCAAGAATTTATCTTCACCTTTATTTTCAAGAGGAAATGCAATGAAGATGGGTGACCTAAACTTGCGATGTGATTGCTAGCTGAAGGCTTCATAAAAGAATGGTCCTGACTGATTAGAGGTGTTGGAAGAGTTTGGAGAGAAACCTAGGAGGGCTGGGAAGAGCAGGTTATCTTGCAGAGGTTTAAGGTCTCTTCCTGGAAGCAAATGTCTTAAGCCGTTGGCTGTGTTTATGAATTACTTGTAACAAATCCAATCCTGAGAGTGGCCCTTGAACTGAACTGTAGTCTGGGATTGTTTTTTCATCTCCAGCTGATGAAATTTGGCTACCACTTTACAATTCTGTGGGCTTAATGTGGTCAATTCTTCACCTTTAAGAAGATGGCAGCTTTAGACTGCACAGGTTTTAAAGTAATACACTTACTCAAAATAAGAACCTTTCTCTTTATGAATAAATAACTTTTAATTAAACATGAAAGTTACTAATACTGAGATTTTAAATTGTACTTTAATGTGCTGATTCATTTCCCCATACTTCCCGAGTATGTTTTGCGCTCTTAGGTAACACTAGATGTAGAGCAACCCCTCAATATGAGTATCTAACTGCTAAGAATTTTTGCAGGAGCCTGAACAATTCGACTGCTTTCCAGTTTGGTGTGTTTAGCAACTTTCATGTGAAAGTCAGAACATACAGTTATGTCTCCATAAAAGAGCAACAATAACTAAATTCTTTCCTAAACAAGTTGGGAAAAATTACGTAGCAATTTCAGTGTTCTATGACATTTGCAGCACTCTGGTTGTGGCTGCTGCATGATGTGGCTCAATTTGATCTGAAGGAGGGCAAGCTTTCCAGGCTTTTTGGATATCACTCTTCACAAGCAAAGGAAGGAACAGTTCTGTTAGCTACATAAAATCATAGAATGGTTTCATATGGAAGGGGCCTTTAAAGATCGCCTAGTCCAACCTGTAAGCTACAGTGCAGTGGTTTGTTACAGCTTACAGCTTGGTATCTTACTTTATTACAGCTCTGCTATTACAAACCTTGTTTTGTAATTGAATAACTGAAATTAAGGCTATTATTATTCCCTTTTAAAGGAAACAGTATTCAGGACAGGAGAAATGTTACCATCCCCTTCTAATGCCTGTTAAAAACGTATACTTCTGTTAGATTCCGTTTTACCTTGTGTATATGTGATAGGAGCATGTATGTATTATGAAAAATATTTTCATAAAAGTTTCATGAGAGCTAAGTACAGAGTTATCATGACTGTTTTGTAACATCTACCTGCTAAACAAAGCTAAAGTCACTTACGCTTTTAGGATAGGTTTTTCTAAATGTAGGATGTGGTGACTCTGCCCATGAAGTAGAAGTGCTTGCAGTGAGAGGAGATAATCTTGGAAAAGGCTGTTAATGCAGCATTGGAATACATATGCAAAAAAAATAACTAAAGCGTTTTTGCCACTCTTTGAATATTTTAGAACTGTTTTTAATGGATATTCTTTAAAACTGTTGAATGTCAGCTACTTAGTATGACAACTGACTGTATGTCTCTTAATTAGTCCTCTCTTGAACATGGAAATGTTGTAAGCTTCAGATGTTCTGTTATACCCATCTGAGGCATGGAGATAGAGAAACTGGTCATTGCTGTGGTCTAGAGTAGCAATGTCTCCGATTTATTGCAAGGTCTCCAGTTTATAGAGCCTTGATGTGGAACATTTGACTCTAAACTGATCTGTTAATAAATATATAAGTAATTAGTCTTTTAGTAACCTTAAAAGGAAATATGAAAACCATAATCTCTTTGGAAGATTAGGTAACTATCAACAACTAATAGTGTTTGGATTTTAGATTTGCAAACAAGGACTCTGTAGCTGACTTCTTTGAAGAATATCTTTACTTTCTGAACGTAAAATTCCTGCATTGCCAAGTGAAATATTTTACAAATGGTGTTTGTAGAAAATGGAACACAACTTGTGTTTATGCAGGTTTGTACAGTGTGTTAGTTGTGGAACTAATACTGGACTAAGTTCCTGATTTATACCTGTTTGCTCTGGACGATGTGGCTATTCAGTACCTGATGAACTAGAAACTTAAGATTGTATACACATGCATGCATATGTATATGTATACAGACACTTTTTTTTTCCCCAGAGTACCCTTTGAATCCTAAATCCAGACCTCCGAGAATGCTCGTCATCAAAAAGGGCAGTACGAAAGAACTGCAGATATCTGGATTCCCAGTAGTAGGAAGTCTTCATTCACAGCCAGTAAGGAATGGAACTGGCACAAGTGTTTATAAAGGATTGGTCCCTAAACCTGTCACTCCACCCGCAAAGGTGAGTCTTGGATGTAGGGGGCATGAACAACATGCTGAAAAAAATCGTGCTGTGATTCTGAATGTGCTTGTTTTACCCCTGGGAGTACTGTTCCTACAGTATTATGCTTTCAACTCTTGCTAAGTGCAGCATACCTCAAAGGTAAATGGAAACCACTTTCTATCATTTTTCTTTTTGAACTATACTGTAATGGGATCTCTCTTTATTTCTCGTTTAGCTTTTTTGAGAAGTGCAAGAGCTGTACAAGTGAGAGTGAAAAGGATGTTTTTAACTTACAGAGTAGTAATGCCTTTTGTTTATACAATTTTAACAGAAAAATAGATACCTAGTGGAGAGAAAAATAAAAGGCATAAAAATACCTTCAGAATTTATCCCAATGATTTATAGAGATATTGCAACCTATTAGTGTCATTCTTGTCCCTTTCCAAATGCAACTTTCCATGTTCATCTCTTGATTTTTGTTTCAGGAAGTTTTCTGTGCTCCTGAGAGCATATGATGGAGTATTTCTTAACTCACTAACATTCTACATTAAAAACAATACTTTCAGCTGTTGAAGACTCATGTTTTGATTCTTAATACCTCAAATATGAGGGTCTTAATTGTTTCAAAATTTTAGTCTTTATATAAAAAGCGTAAACAGTATTTGTGGGCAGATGAATTCCTTATAAACAGTCTCTTTTCCACAAGAAAACAGATGTTTGCACTAAATTACGGTTTTAGTAAGGATTTGCTTTTGCTTAATCATTTTTCTGAAGATTCCTGAAAATAATCATATTGTAGTTAATGACTCTTTGAATTTCTGTTTAAATTTTTGTTTAGCCTACACAGTGGAAAAGCCAAGCAAAAGAAAATAAACTCGGGAATCCGTTTCCTCATGAATCTGTTTATGGTGTTGGCAATTTCAGTCCTTTCAAATCAACTGCCAAGGCATTTACTGTATCACAAAATTCAGTGAAAGAGGTAAAACCAATGTCTGTAGTTTTTATCAAATTTATAAATGTTTAATTTGGTTAGATAAGGGGATCAGTAAGTTTTATGCAGTATTGTATTAAGTAAGTTTTTTTGGAAGTTAGTGTGTGAGAAATAAGGAAGGCACATCATTGACCTTTAAGTACTGCACAATTTGCATTATAGGTTTGATTTGGAGTAAAAAAAGTGCATTAGGAAGTACAACCTGATAGGTTTAAACTTCAAAACTGCAAATAGTATGATACGCTTCAGAAGGTCTGCTCTTCGTTAGCAGTGCTCCATAAACCTGCATCTCTGGGTTTAAATGTAAGAAGTATATATACTGAAATACAAATATTTTCCGTCTACTTTTGACTGTGGATATATGTGAAACCTGAAACTACGGGTGCCAGTGAGTCTTTTTGTCTTTCATTCAAAGTTTTCTAAATGAATAAACTTCTAATCTTCTTTCTTTTTCTGACTCCCTACATTAGTGTAATCGGTCAAATTCTTCATCCCCTGTTGACAAAGTTGGTCAGCCTCGTTTAACAAAATTGACAAGAATGCGGACTGATAAGAAGAGTGAATTTTTGAAAGCATTGAAACAAGATAGAGTGGAAGAGGAACATAAAGCTCAGAATCATGCTGGGCAAGAAAAGGTAGTCTTGTTCATACATATTGTAGATCCAGCAGTAGTCATTTTCAGATGGGCCGTAAACTACTTTTTATTTTGCTGTAAACAGCTGTTTAATCATGGTCTTGGATCTCTAAATGAAGGAAAGGAATTACATGTTGATGAATTTAAAGTTGTTGCAAGTGCTACTCTTCGTCCAGTGCTTCATAGTAGGTTTTTTTTTTTCTTTATGCAGTATCTGTTCATAGATGTTAATAACTCAGGTACATCTGTGTCTTTAGCAACAATAAAAAGAATAAATTAAGCTTAGTACACTAACCTAATCATAGAAGCACAGAATCATTTAGATTGGAAAAGACCTTTAAGATCTTTGAGTCCAACCGTTAACCTAACACTGCCAAGTCCACCACTAAACCATGTCCCTAAGCACCATGTCTACACATCTTTTAAATACCTCCAGGGATGATGAATCTGCCACCTCCCTGGGCAGCCTGTTACGATGCTTGACAAGCCTTTCAGTGAAGAAGTTCTTCCTAATATCCAATCAAAACCTTCCCTAGTGTAACTTGAGGCCATTTCCTTTTGTCCTATCACTGGTTACTTGGGAGAAGAGACCAACTGCCACCTCACTACAGCCTCCGTTCAGGTAGTTGTAGAGGGCGATAAAGTCTCCCGTCAGCCTGCTTTTCTCCAGTCTAAACAACTCTAGCTCCCTCAGCCGCTCC